AACGTAACAAAAGTTATGGCCATCTGAAGTTGGCTGATAGCTATGATTTTCAGGAATGGAATTTTGAGAAAAACGGGTTTAAAGTGAGACGGGTTTCACTTTCAATTCACGGGTTTAACGAGAGCTGTCTGTCAGGAGCGCTATACTGCATCATCACACAAACAGACTAACGTTACCCTGAAGAGGACAGTTGTCCGTTGTTTATCATGATGGGCATAGTCTCTGAACTTTTGATCACCTCTTGTATGTTAACATACCTTGTAGTTTACATTTAGAAAAGCGAGCACAGCGCAACTGTGTGCGCACCTGTGCATATAATCTTATTGCCTCATATGACTGTCTTCAGACTCCTCCTCTTTAGTAACTTCATCCGATCCTTTATCTCTGGATGTGAAATAGTCCATTATAACATCGTTTAGGGCACTTACATCAAGATTGAGCATACTGAGATGAGCAAGATCATTTAAGTGAGCAGCTACTTCAGACTGCGTTGTTTTCTTGTGCTCCGCCATCTCACGATATAAAAAAATAAATAAAAAAACTTTGCGTGCCGTATACAGGACTGGCGGGAAATGTGCATTGATACACCTTTATTATATGTTACGTGGTTTATTTTGATAGGTTAGCTGTTTTTGTGGTGTTAAGAGAAAACACCTCCGCAGCGCGTGCTTAACAATCGAGAAAGACACTCTTTTCTGCTTGCTGAAAACACACTGACAGTGAAATTACCTGAGGAAAATATTTTACCCAAAATATCAGAACCTCAAAATTTCTGTAAAAAATGTTAAAGGGTTACTCCACCCCAAAATGAAAATTTTGTCATTAATCACTTATCCCCATGTCGTTCCAAACCTGTAAAAGCTTTGTTCGTCTTCGGAACAAAATTTAAGATATTTTGGATGAAAACCGGGAGGCTTGTGACTGTCCCATAGACTGCCAAGCAATTTTCACTGTCAAGGCCCAGAAAAGTATGAAAGACATCACCAGAATAGTCCATCTGCCATCACTTGTTCAACCGTAACGTTATGAAATGACGAGAATACTTTTTGTACGCGAAGAAAACAAAAATAACGACTTTATTCAACAATTTGTCTCCTCTGTGTCTCTCCGCATCACCGTAGCACCATTTTGGAGAATATCCGCTGAATGCAAGCAGCGTACGCTATTCTGTGTCACAAGGATAGGGTTTCTACGTGTATTTACGCTTTTACGTGTATTGTGTGGCTGACACAGAATAGCGTACGCAGTTTGCGTGCAGAGCCTGTTACATCACGAGTGTGGAGTGGTGAGGAGTGTCAGGCCACCGCTGCTAACCTCCAGCCTCCAGCGTCGCTGCCTTCACTGCTCTCTGGTGGTCTACCATCTTGGACTGGACTCTGTGGCCGTTCACCCGGTCCTGCCTGTCTACAAGTCATTCCCTGCCTATTGTTTGAACTGTGTTCACTCCCCTCCTCACCTTCTCTCGTTTTGTCTGCAAGTTTGTCTAAAGAAATCTGTTAACACTCGCTCTGCATTTGAGTCCTTCCTCCAGATCCCTGACATTAAAAGCACTCTTCTCTCCTTTGTCTCCTTGTCTGTTCTTTCCCCTCTCTCTCATTTCTTGGTCTCTTCTTTCTACTCTTTCCCTGGCCTCTCATTCTCATCTCTCCTCTCACTCTCGTCTCTCTCTTTCTCTTCTTCCCTCCTTTTCCACCATCTCTCTCCTCCCTTTCAACAGCTTCCATTTCTCTTTCTGCTTCCCTCTCCATCTCGTTGTTCAGCTCCTCTTTATACTTCAGTTTCCTCCCTACTCTTTCAGGTGTTGACCGCACTGAGGATGTTGAGGTTACAGCAACATCTGGTCCGGATGAGGCAATAAGATTGGGTGGTGTGATGGACGGTCTGTACAGAAGTTCTAAAGCCCCGCTCACACTGCCAGCGATTTTTTTCGCTGTATGTCGCTAGACAAACTCACTTTAGACTGCCAACAGTTTATTTTCCACACATAATTTTTATATCGTTACAGTCAGATCAATTAAAACGGTGAGATCGCTCCGGAACTCTGTCCTGTCTTGCACGCACTCGAGGTGGTGACTTGTGAGCGCCGCTGACAGATTCTTCACTCCTATTGGTTGTCGCTCGCGAAATTCGCTGTTCATTTGCATAAACTTAAACAATTCTGAACTTTTGTCACTTGACTCACATCGCTAGACACGCCCACATTCCGTCGCCAACAGTCACTGTCGCTCTGGTCGCTGGAAGTCGCCAGCTTTCCATTGAAAATTAATGGGATCATGTCGCTCTAACGCTGTGTGTCGCTGTGTGAATGGGGCTCAGTGGCCATGCATTATTATTTTTTTCTTTCTTGATTTCTCGTGATCACGACATAACAAAAGTTGTTTTTTCATGATCACGACTTGTTTTTCTTGTGATCTCGACATAACAAAAGTTGTTTTCTCATGATCACGACTTATTTTTCTCGTGATCGCGACATAACAAAGGTTGTTCTCTAAGTTACACAACTGCGCCAACAGGTGGCAGTATAGAACTATTGATGGGGAGTTGTATACTGTATATCCACTATACTGTACGCGTTTGGGACAGAGGACCTTCTTCGTGATTGCTATAATTTGTGCAGTTCATTACTGACACGATCATATCGTTCGTTAATAAATGTATATTAATAAGATATGTGATTTACATGTGTATAATTTAGTTCAATGATGTTATACAGTGTTGTAGCCTAATCTTTTGTATTTTCTACATTTCTTTGTAAACCGCACATACATACACACACACACTCACACTTAACCACATCTAAGCTTGTAACGCACATATCACAGCCTATATCCTACATGACTAATAAAAATCACAAATTATTATAATATATTAATATATATAATTTTTTTTCAAACGAACGAGGAAAATGAAGTGAGTTTAATCCAAGCAGTTTTAAGATTTTTAGTTCTTCTTTGCATTCTTCTAAGGCGCTCCGCTTGCGGAGTTGAATGCTTGTTGTTAGACCATTTAAATATGTTAATTACACAAATAAAATGTTTAGCGTAGCCTAACTCTGGACAAGATCAGCAGTGATTAGCCTATTTAGTTTATTTATTGTAGACGTTATTTCTAAGTGAAGCAACATTTGCTGAAAATTCCACAAGATAAAGTATAAGAGCGCACGGTTATCTGTCGATCATTTGCGCCTCAAAGGAGGCATTCCAAAACGTTTTTGTCATGTCGAAATCACAAGAAAATTAAGTCGTGATAATGAGAAAACAACATTTGTTATGTCGAGAAAATTAAGTCGTGATAACGAGAAAACTCGTTATGTTGCGATCACAAGAAAATGAAGTCGTGATCACGAGAAAACAACTCGTTATGTCGAGATCACGAGAAAACAAGAAAGAAAAAAGCCCCCTATTGCCTCATCCAAGACAGCATACCATTTCCAGGATGCTGCTGTAATGGCTCATACCAGTCTGTGCAAAATACCAAGACAGTCAATTATATTCATTAGATTACTGCATTACTATGACATGGACAAACATAAGCAAGATCAAATCATGAAAGTATGCAAATTTTGGGGTGAACTAATAATAATAATAAAAAAAACGTACTTTATATTTTTGCTTTAGGTTTACCCACTTTCTTTTAACCTGAGCGGCAGAAATTTTGCACTCAAATTTCTGCTCTGTCACAAAAACGCTGCAATAAATGCACAGAAATCAAGCATAAAAAGAAGGCAGTAAGACTTTTGCCTGAAGTGTTAGTATGTACTACTTTCACTGTCAACAGCACCTGAATAAAAGTACATTTTACATAACTAGTATACTTACTCAAAACCTTTGATAGCAGCATTACGCTTTCCAGTGAAGAGGGCTTCATTAGCCACTCTCCACTTGATGAGGAGACGAGTGTGTTCATCTGTAAAGTCTAAACAGTATTTAAACATTAGTCATGATCAATCCATCAGTGCTACATTGACAAGCTGAGGCATATACCTCCTCTCCCGTGGCCTCATGGGACAGTAAAGTGTCCATCGTGTGCACACTTCTTCTTCTTCTTCTTCTTCTTCTTTTAGGATTTAATGGCGGTTGGCAAACCAACTTAAAAGGTGCATTCCCGCCGTGTGCGCGCACTTCAGAATTCGGGAGGAAGCAGTAGGTCATCCAGCTACTTCTCGCCTACTGTTTTTCGAATACTATGAATTCGGACATACTACTCGCCTCGCACACTGTTTTTCACATACTACGTATATAGTAGGAAAGTACGCGGTTTCAGACAGCGTAAATGAAGAGGGGGGTCAAAACAGGACAGAAAATATTACTTCAAGATTATGTGTTTTGATGTAAAAACTTTGATAACATTATAAGTGGACCTCAGAGAACAGTACAAAATAATAAAAAAAGCCATTCATGACCCCTTTAAAGCCTTATGCTATGGATTGTTGCTTAGGTTTGGGAACGAGGGTTGATTCACCCGTGTTTGAAGAATTGTTTCCGCCGAGCATAGCTGATTCAAGTCGTTGTGCTTCACTTTGAGGTAACTAAAGATTACTGTGTTCAGGAATACATTCGATTTTAATGTATATTAAAATAGAAAGACGTCATTTTACATCGTAATAATTTTTCACAATATTATTTTTTCCCTGTATTTTTTTATTTTATTCAAAATGTGTTCTGAGAAAAAAAACTTGATTTGGTTTTTAAAAAGCCTTTTTCCAAAAGATACATCTGGAAAAAGGGGGGTCATCTTATATTTGGGACAATACGGTACATGTATATATATATATAAAATCTGTCCCTAATAAAGTTTTTATTTTATTGACAAGCCTTGTATAAATGACATTTTTTGCTACGACACTGTGTAATGCATCAAACAAAAATGACAAAAAAAAAACACAATTACTCAGCATGTGTTTATATAACATATATTTCACCAAGAATAAAACTCCGAATACATATGTTTCATTATCTGTATTATTATTGAATGTATATCTGCATGCATGTACATTTCCATGCGTTCAAAAAATCGAACGGGACTTTTATTTTGGTATGGTGGTGTGACGTCACAAGGCTGCGCCGCGCTTCTGCGTCTGTGATTCGGATCAACGAAGGTTTGTGTTATTATTATATTATATTATAGATTTACAAGCGATGTGAAGTTAAATACTTAATCTGTAGTGTTAGCGTTTCTTGGCTAGTCGGGGCATTTAAGGTGATTAACTCACTCTGAACTAGGGAGCTAGTTTGGATGTATTTTTCTTTCTGTTCATTCTTCTTCTCTTAAACAGACTCCACACACAGAAGCAGCTGAGACACACTATTATAAAGATGGCCTTTACTAAAGAGGAGAGTGAAGATGTGAGGATTGAAGAAGTGTTCAGTCTGAAGCAAGAAGATACTGAGGAACAAACAGGTTGGTTTTCATTCTCAAAGCTGAACCGCTTTTGATATTAAAATGTCAGTCTCTACAGAAATGACTATTTTTGAAGAATATCATACGAGTGTCATTATTAAAGTGGTTTTATTTTAAACACTGCCTTCAAGTGCAGCTGAGAAGATCCTACTTTGAGTTGGGCATTCGTTATTATGACATTGCAGATTAAATTAGGAAAAATAATATGGAAGTAGCTTAAACAAAGCATTTTTATTTAGCTACTTATAAATTGAAATTAAAGGGGTCATATGACGTTGTTAAAAAGAACATTATTTTGTGTATTTGTAGGTATGATGACAATTTTCAACCACCCCTAAACTCAAAGTTTCTGGCACAAACCGATCGTTTCGTGTCTTAGGACATCAATGTGTCGTCACGAGCCGCAGGGTTTAATTTGGATTTGTCTGTGCATGTTTTTTTTACTCTCATAGATTTTGTTACCATTGCCATCCATTATAAGACTGATGGACTCCAACGGTTGGACTTAAAAATCATCAAAAGTGTTCTACTGAAGAAACAAAGTCCCCTACATCTTGGATGACCTGGGGGTAAGCAGATAAACATCAAATTTTCATTTTTGGGTGAACTATCCCTTTAACCACTGATTTCTAGTTGTGTCCTCTTTTGGAAGGCCAAACAAAGTAGTTTCGCTTTCACAACAAAACACAGCGTCTCCACGACGTGGCGGCGGCGGCAGCAATACTACAGCGAGAATAAAAGTTACGCCTTCTTACTTTGCGTGAACATTTGGGCGGCGTTATGCAAATCTTCCCACATAGTGAGGTAGACATGTGGGGGCGTGTTAAAATTAGGCGTTTTAGGTAGGCGTGGTTGACTCTTAAATTTTATAAAGAATATCTCTTTGGATTTGAGACTTTAGTCTTTGCAACTTTACAGATCTTCTTTATGCACCAAGAGCTTGTAACACTCCAAAGAGAAAGGAAAACTTGAAATCGCATCATATGACCCCTTTAATGAAAACCATTAATTTCTATCATTTAATTATGCAAGTGTCTAAAAAAAAATTTTTTTGCTTAATGCAAACCGATAATTGTGAGTGATTACATTTGTTGTGCATAATTTACATTTTTCTATTTGTCTGTAAAAGCACTGTACTATTATCTTACCTGAACGTAAATAGCAATAAAAAGAGAGGACAGAAACTAATCTTAATCACAATATAACCATTGTATTTCACCAAATGCAATTACTAATATCGTTACATAATTTGTCTTACAGAAATGGACATTTGACGGTAAAGTACAGAGTTTGAGTTGGGATACAGATGTACATTTATATATTAATATTAGCAACAGTCCAAGACGACATCTGTAAAATTTAACAACATCTGAAAAAAAGTGTAAAGAAATGTTTAAATGGTCTGACAGTGCAGACAGATCTGACCATAAAATCCATACAAGATGTGCTCACTGATAAGACCTGCAAATATATGTTAGTTGATAGATGTTAAAGTGCCCCATTACGTTATTTGAAATATTTATAATTTGGTTTTGGGAGTTCCCAACAACAGGCTCACATGCATGGTAGGTCAAACAACACTTTAATTTTCTTATAATGTGCATTTAATTTCTCAACGACTCTCAAACAAGTCGTTCAAAGATTCATCTTTGGATCAGGGTTGGAGCTGAACTCTGCAGGAAGGTAGATCTCCAGGAACAGGATTGGGCCCCCCGTGGTCTACTGCATACAGTGCATGTCGGAAAGGGAATACGGCTTATCAAAAATTCATTCTATTACTGTATTGGCCCGAATATAAGACGACCCCCCTTTTCCAGATGTACCTTTTGGAAAAAGGCTTTTTAAAAACCAAATCTTGTTTTTCCTCAGTAAAACACATTTTGTCTGCATTTATTTTCATATTGCATATTTTTCCTATTTTCATTTTTGTTTTGAAAGTATGGCAAAAACTGGTAAACTGTACCAACAATCACATTAAAAAAATATACACTTTTTGATATACCATAAAAAAAAGAAAAAACAGGTAGCCCATCTGAATTAGGACATTCAGGCTAGTGCCATCAGGCTAACATGACAGTCACGGTTCATGCAGCTGTAAGGTTTTCTTTTTCTTTTGTTTTTACTCGCGATCTTTACAACACGCATTACATTACGTATTTCATGGCACACTCGTTTTATGCGTATTTGGCGCCACCTATTGTTGTGGGTGTATTATTGACATGTCAAAGTCTAGACCCTGAATATAAGACGACCGCGTTTTTTCAAACGCATTTCCAAGAAAAAAACATCGTCTTATATTCGGGTCAATACGGTATAATAATGATAGTACTCCACTCTGTTGTAAAAACAAACAAACAAACAAAAAATCAGAGGGGAATAAGTTGTTTTACACAGGGCTCCAGACTGCGACTAAAACGGTCGCATTTGTAACCAAAAATATTAATTTGCTAGTGAAGTTTTTGCTAAGGTCGCCACTGGCGACTATATATATTTATACGTTATGACTTAAAAAAAACATGTCTTTATTGTTTTGCGATCACATCTTTTGTTACGTTCACGTAGTAAACTGAGACGATGCGCACCAAAGTTTTAGTGGAAAAAAGAGTTTCAAGCAGTCCTCGTCTCTGCAGCACAGCAGTATTGACGGCACACCTGCTAAATGCAGCTCAGTTGTGTATCGCGAGAGAGACGTGCAAAGTGAAAGTGTACAAAAGCAGTGTCTATATCGTGCTCAACAGGTAAAGCTGTCAGCTGCATGGATATTGGCAATATCGTTAACAATTCTAGTTTATAACCATTACTAATATGGCTTCTTGTTATCAAGATATTAGTCTATTTAGGGGTGTGCGATATCATGATTGTCACGAAATGTCTCCACGATCTGCTTTTGAAGAAGTATTGTAGTATCGTGCTACAGCGCACATTCGACCAGTTACAGTTCTGGTGCCTTCGTATCAATATACTGTACAACACGACATACTCTTCCACAGAGTTAACACTGATGTGAATGTAACTCTCACGGGACACTGCACTTATTCGCAATCACAAAAGTACATTATTTGCATCTGCTTTAAAGCCTTGCCGGTTAAACATTTCATTCGCTGTTTAACAGGTTTTTAAACTAAAAAACCTGTTAAACAGTGCCTGATCACTGAACTAAGTTATCTTTAGCGCTAATACTGTCAAAACACACAAGGTTTACATATAGACTAAGTTGGTTATGTCTAAAATGAAAGTAAACAGTTGAGAGAAAAACGGATGTATACAGGTCTTAAAGGGACAGCACAAATGTCTCCACGATCTGCTTTTGAAGAAGTATTGTAGTATCGTGCTACAGCGCACATTCGACCAGTTACAGTTCTGGTGCCTTCGTATCAATATACTGTACAACACGACATACTCTTCCACAGAGTTAACACTGATGTGAATGTAACTCTCACGGGACACTGCACTTATTCGCAATCACAAAAGTACATTATTTGCATCTGCTTTAAAGCCTTGCCGGTTAAACATTTCATTCGCTGTTTAACAGGTTTTTAAACTAAAAAACCTGTTAAACAGTGCCTGATCACTGAACTAAGTTATCTTTAGCGCTAATACTGTCAAAACACACAAGGTTTACATATAGACTAAGTTGGTTATGTCTAAAATGAAAGTAAACAGTTGAGAGAAAAACGGATGTATACAGGTCTTAAAGGGACAGCACTAAACATGCAGCCGTCTGTCATTAAAGGGATAGTTCACCCTAAAATTTAGTTTGTCATTATTTACTCACGTTGTCCCAAACCTGTATTGATGTCTTTCTTGTGCTGAACACAATAGAGGATATTTTAAAGAATGTGGGTAACTAAACAGTTGCTGGTAGCCACTGACTTTGATAGTAGGAAAAAAAAATACTAAGTCACTGGGAACCAGCAACTGTTTGGTTTTCCACATTCTTCAAAATAACATTGTTCAGCAGAAGAAATAAACTTCAAGTTTAAAACAACTTGATAGTGTTTTATTTTTATACCATCATTTACTCACTATGACAGAACTTACAGACAGATGACAGAATTTTAATTTTTGGGTGAACTATTCCTTTAATTAATAAAACAATAAATTAAAACAAGAAAAATCACTCACTACTCTTGACTGAAAAACTTTAATACAGTTGCTTAAATAGAAATCAAACTATATAGTGTTTTTTTTTAGATTTGTTCATTCAATTTCTTGAATGCACCTGCTAAATACACCTACTGTACCAGAAAACAAAGCACTTTGTTTTATTTGTATATTATGTGTATTTGTAATGTGTGTCTTTGTTCTTATTTTTGAATAACAAAGATAAATTAATGACAAATATTTTTTTATCTTCACCCACTTTGGCCTAAATATGAACCATTCTTTTTTTATATTTTGTTACCTTGAAATGCTTTGTCTTTATAATAGGGAAATTAGTTTGGCTGTAATGCTCAGACAACTTGCAAAATAGTAAAACTAACATGACAAAGAATCGTGATTAAAATCGTGATCTATCTATATATATATATACATTATAAAAATCTTGATATTTTTGCCATATCGCCCACCCCTAGTCTAAATGCTGTGTTCTGTTAATTTCATATTAGCCTATTTGTAGCGCACTTGCCGTCCAGTAATCACAATAAGCTTTGTTACTTTTTAATAAACAAAGTATCAGCTTTAAAATTCTGCCAGATTCATACAATAAATACAGTTTTGGGGCTTTTTAATGCGGCAGGCGCAATCGCTTTAGCGCCTCAGTTCAAGCGGCAAGTGAACCCATTATATCTTTCTCTAGTACAAATGAACATGAATTAACATCCAAAGGTAGGCTATTTTATAAGAGAACCTACAGTACAACTTACTGACATGTCTCATGCAATCGCTCATTCTGTGTCAAACTGCAGAAAAGCACTTAACCATGCTGGTGAGTAATCATGGTCCAACTCAGTGTGAACTGTATAAGTACTTGTAATTCAATACCCCGAGGGTCAACCATGTCAATAGTAAAGTGATCACAAACAGAATAAGTTTGGGGGTCAGGATTAATGTAAACACCGATATCCGATAACCGTTAACAAGACAAAAAATCGGGTACTGTCAATTGTGTCAAAAGACTAAATTGATGCATTAAGCCTTGCAGTGTAAATAGAGCCAGAATTGCATCCATGCACTTTGTGAACATATATGGCGCTTTTCCACTACGTGGTACTACTCGGCTTAGTACGGTACGGCTCGGCACGGTTTGCGTCGTTATAGTTGCGGCGCCTCTACTGCCACGACTCCTGAAAAACGTTTTCATTCCGCGTCGCCTCATCAAGCTCTCGCTGGATCCGCTCCTCTGCTATCAACGAGAGGAACGTCTGTACTTCCTCAAAAGACACCGAAACAGCCACTTTTTGGTTGTTAAAAAAGGTGCGCTCGTTCAAAACAGTTGCGTTCGATCCTTCACTGGCTGTGCTGATTTAAATCTAGCGGTTCTTTTGTGTTTGTGTCACAAATTCAGTGACGCAGGTAGTGGCGATTCTCTCCGGCCAATCCGTGATCAAAAAAAGTACCAGGTACTGTACCCAGTGGAAAACCCCCCAAAAGTGAACCGTACCGAGCCATACCATGCAGTGGAAAAGCGCCAATATTGTGCTACTGCCAGGCAGAATGGAAGTTCTCAAAACTGGTACACTATGCTCCCAAAAGTGAACCTGAGGAACTTCCTGTGGTCTTATACAGTCTATATGAGAAAGTAAGAATCCCTCATATCCACCACGACAAACCATGGCTTGGGTGGGTGGTGGCTGGGCCAAAAAATGTTGACAACCACTTGTCTAAATGCCAGGACACACCGAGCCGACTTCAAAAAACTAGCAGCAACGAAAGCAGACGGTGTTGTCGCCTCGTGTCGTCGGCGTCTGGAACAAAAAGCTGTACTTGAACACAGCTCTCAGACTACAGCCGACTGCAAACTAACACATGCGTTCTGCGCCTGCATGAGATGTAGCTGTCTATATCAGCAGCTTTTAATAGTATTGAATAGTCATTCAAAAGGAGAAACCGAAACAATGATATACGAAACGTAAACAACTCTGCGCTTGCTCACCATTTTGAATATCAGTTATGTTGATAACTTGAATGCTTGGGTAAGATCACATAACATTAGAACATCCTTCTGTCTGTGTTCATTTTCATCACTTTCACTTTAATTCTCTGGCAATGACTGCTTCGAGAAACTAGGCATCCAATCAGAGTTCTTACTCATGCTGACGGCCCATACGCTGATTCAACATGTGCAACACAGCCACTGACGTGAGCCCGACGAGAGCCGATGTGAGAAACACCAAACAAACTAGCCCGACAGACGCTCACTGATGGCCTGACGTTGACCGACGGCTTGGTGTGTCCCGGCCTTGTTTTGATGTCTGTTGTTTTTTGTCTTTAATTTCTCTGTTTTAACCCTAGGCCTGATGCCGCTGAAAGAGGGGAGTCAAGAACTGAATGAAAAGGAAGAACAAAATCTGTATGAAAATTTCGATTTCACAACTGGAGAAAAAACTTTTGGTTGCTCACTGACTAACAAGACATCCACACAAAATAGAAGCCTCTCCTGCATTCAGTGTGGAAAGTGTTTCTCTAGACATGCAAACCTTGAAGTCCATATGAGAATTCACAAAGGAGAGAAGCCTTTCACATGCAAACAGTGTGGAAGGAGTTTCACTGAAAAAGGAAGCCTTAACAGGCACATGAGAATTCATACCGGAGAGAAGCCGTTCACCTGCCAACAATGTGGAAAAAGTTTCTCTGATAGGGGACACCTCAACGGCCACATGAGTGTTCACACTGCAGAGAGACCTTTCACCTGCTCTCAGTGTGGAAAAAGTTTCAATCAAAGAAGAATACTTAAAAAACACATGACAATTCACTGTGGAGAGAAGCCTTACATGTGTCCACACTGTGGAAAGAGTTTTAAACATAAAGTAACATTTAACACCCATTTGAGAGTCCACACTGGAGAAAACCCGTTCGTATGTAGTCAGTGTGGAAAGAGCTTCAGAAGTAAAGTAACATATAACGCCCATTTAAGAGACCACACTGGAGAAAACCCGTTCGTATGTGGTCAGTGTGGAAAGAGCTACAGATGTAAAGTAAATCTTACAATGCACAAAAGAGTTCACATTGTTCACAAACCAGATGGACCTGAAATGTCAGTTGCAATCCGACAGCACTATTTTCTATTAAAAAAGTGATATACTGTAGAAAACCATGCATTCTGGGCATTATCTTCCATTTCTATGATGGCAAATTTACTGTGAATTAAAGGGAACCTATTATGCCCCTTTTTTACTAGATGTAATATAACTCGGGCGTCCTCAAAATGTGTCTGTGATTCAGCCCAAAATAGCCCATCGATCATTTATTATGTCATTCTGAGAATTACCATTTTTGAGTGGAAGCAAAAATAAAACGTGCTATTTTTGTGCATGTCTTTAAATGTAAATGAGTTGTTGTTCCCCACACCCTTCAAAGAATAAGGTTATGCCTTTACGTCTTGAATAGTCTGCCAAAATAAAATGCATATTTGGTTTTGATTATCATGGGTCCATTCTTCATACCTCATTTAATACACCTGAGATGATTTGACAGATGCCAGATCTTTTAATCATGATAATTGATCTCTGGATAATTTGGTTCTTTAAACAAGTTGGTGGATTTGAGATCAGCGTTGTCTTTTATGGCTGTGGATTTGCCCAAACTACATGAAACCGCAGACTCTTTCAGTCGGGCTGGAAGCTTTCTCACTCTGTTGCTGGTGAAGTGAAGAATTGGTATTAGCCAAGGAATGTACTGATACAGAGAAAACTAAATTTGGACAATTTTATGCAAAAATCCTTATATCTCTGGAACTCTAGGTGGCATTCTAGGTACCTCTGGGACATGCTGTTGGTAATCCCTACAAAATGTTTGTGCTGATATGTCGGCCCATATCATAAATTGCAATTTATGACAAATTTAAAAATGGCGGAGAGGCGGTTCATCTGATCCTGGCAAAATTGACATTTACAGATTTGGTATGACCCAAGGATCCATAGAAAACAACAAGATGATTTTCTGACTAACTTCAAAAGTTACTAGCAAAATAGCCATCTTTTGTATCTCATAAACCATTGGTGCCACTGTTGCCAACTTTACTCATGGTGCTGATGAAGCCTACCAAGTTTTGTTTAGATCGCTTCGATAAAGTTTGGCCAAGATACAGCCTCTGAACCAATTTTGCTTCAACATCAGAACTTTTGAAGAAAGAATAATATCCCAATTCTGATCAGCATCCTGTTCTGCCAGTTTTTGTAAGAATTGGACAAATTTTGAAGGAGTAGCAAAAAACAGAATGCTGTACTTTTCAAAATGGCCACTACTGTAATGGGCGGCGTCTTAATGTAAGTTATTGAATGTGATCAGCATGAGGGGTGTTGTCAGATTAACTCAATTTCATTTCTCTAGAACAGTGGTTCCCAACCACATTTCTGGAGGCCCTCCATCACTGCATGTTTTCCATGGCCCCTTAAAGGGTTACTCCACCCCAAAATGAAAATTTTGTCATTAATCACTTACCCCCATGTCTTCGGAACACAATTTAAGATATTTTGGATGAAAACCGGGAGGCTTGTGACTGTCCCATTGACTGCCAAGTAAATAACACTGTCAAGGCCAAGAAAAGTATGAAAAACATCGTCAAAATAGTCCATCTGCCATCAGTGGTTCAATCTGACCATTATGAAGAGACGAGAATACTTTTTGTATGCAAAGAAAATAAAAATAACTTTATTCAACAATTCGTCTCATCTGATCAGCGTAGCGCCATTTTGGAGAATATCCGCTGGACACAAATAGCATACGCTGTTCTGTGTCAGCCGCATGGGCACGCCACAAGCATACGCTGTTTTTGTTCAAAGCAAAGCATAAATACACGTAGAAGACTGATCCCTGTGGTGCGGCAAGCCACAGACCTGGCCAAGGTTACAAAAAAATTTCTGCTGCACTTAAGGTTCCTAAGAGCACAGTGGCCTCCATAATCCTTAAATGGAAGACGTTTGGGACGACCAGAACCCTTCCTAGAGCTGGCCGTTTATTTCCCAGCAGCCATGCAGCTGATCTAGAAACTGCTTCTTCTACATTCACCCTGACCAATGCTGTGCCACAGGAGGAAAGCTTTAATAATGGAATATGGAACATCAAGGAAGAAACTTTTCAAAAAAACATGAATGAAAACTGCCTTAGTAACAACAACAAAGTTGTGGCCCATGTGCTGACAGGAGCTATACCTGGCACCGAGAAAATGAAGGAGAAAGTGAACATTCCTTCACACATGTGGATGGCTTTTTGCTGCTATAACAATAAGAAAGATTCATGGGTCTCCCAAGCTTACTGTGCTACAAACGAAGCAAACAGCAAAGCTGACCTTACTACAGAAAGCTTGTCTGAGTTACAGCAATTCATAAATGTTAAATTGGGGAAAGAAGTAGTTCTGTTTCATGACATGTGTAAATAACAAACTTATGGATTTGAGATCTCTGTCAAAACATAGTTCTTCAAGCGTGTTACAATTATCCTATTTTCTAAACTACAGATGTCTTAAATCAGCAGCTTTGTCCTGTCTTTTGCATATACAAATGCTTCTTACCACATGCTTAGTATACTACTGTAAGGCAACACCAAATATGTTAAGGAATGTGCAAGAATGCTGAGTTTGTATACTGGCTTTTCACTAATAAAGCTTTGTGCATATCACAGTCGTCTCACTGAATATGTATATATATATATATATATATATAGTAAGGGAAACAGGTCAATTAATTATTTTTGATTTTATAAGGAATTTGAACAGAATCACTGTTTTACGGCTGATCACTGAGTCGGCCAGCAATTCATTGAACGAGCCGTATAACATCAACTTTGCAATGGATATAGTGCAAATCCAAAATATAGTGAAAACACTATTAATTAGCACATAAGCAAGATCGGCAGTTTAAGACATTAACTTGTAAGCACAAAACACTAGATACTACTTTTCAATAGAAATAGATTTATCTAATAAAGTCTTAAGACATGTAACCTAATCTAACACATAAACACACACATTCACACAGATTGCAGAAAGAAAGACAGTGAGGAAAGAATGAGTTTAGAAGAGTGAAAATATAAAACCCCAAGTTTATAGCAATATATGCAATTGCTTAGCCTCATTGAGAAACTTAATGCGAAGGTTAATTTGATGATTGATGTTAGCAATTGAAAAAAAACTGTAATAGACCTGAACTACCAAGCGTTTACCAATACTTAACGTACTTTTTCTAAACTCTTAACACAGCAACCCACCTACATCACACAATTAGCCAAATAGTTAATTTTATGGCCAAAACCCCAATTTGTTAAATAAATACAAACTCTACGTTTCAAAATGCCGAACACCTTTTTCTACATTTTCTAACTCTATCAAAACACAGCAAACCCGATTCAAAATTGAGTCATTCAGTCAAAACATTGGCACAGGTTTTCTATCCAATAGGAACATATAGTCGATCATAGTGCGGGAACCGTGTACAGCTGTTTCATTGGAATTTTGTGTTTGTTCAGAGTCCGAGCAATGGTAGCCAGGCTGATGCTTTCAACATTCTATAGCAGGTTGTCCTGTACAATTCTGGCCTGAATTTCTCTGAGTTTTATTGCATTGTCAACAATGACCCATCTTACAATTGCATGCTCTTGGTCTTCATTAAGCAGCTTTCTTCTTCCCCCAGAGCAAGGAAGTCGTTGTGTCCTTTAGAACAACAAAAAATGTACCACAATAACTGCTGGCCACCAGCAGCTACAAATACAAATATGTACATTACAACTGCAATTGTGGCCCTCATGAAATGCATTTCTTACCTGTTGGATTGTCGAAAAAATTGGATAATGGAAACCACAGTTGACCGTCTGAGATTAGGCTGGACTCTTTCACCTGCCTCTCTGTGACAGACCATGATTTATCACTATGATGGTGGCATATTTCATCAGTGACAACAGCTCTTACTCTCCTTTGAACTGCACCAAGCATTCTTACTCCTCTCCCCTACCTCTCCTTCTCCCTTGTACTGGTCCAACTACTCCTCTCCCTGGTCCACCTTGTCCTCTGCCTTGTCCAACTCTCCCGCGTCCAGACATTTTATTTATTTATTTTTCTCACAGCAGCTTAAAAGAGCTGATAAGAATTATTTTAATTACTGATAATTGAGAAATAGCTGATTCCAATCTTAATGATTAATTCCAAGTCTTTATATTACATGGCCATGCACAATAAAAAGGCACTCTCTGGACTGGTTTTGTTCCAAAAAATAGAGAACAAAAAATAAATAAAATGTCTGGACGCAGAGGACAAGGTGGACCAGGGAGAGGAGTAGTTGGACCAGGACAAGGGAGAAGGAGAGGTAGGGGAGAGGAGTAAGAATGCTTGGTGCAATTCAAAGGAGAGTAAGAGCTGTTGTCACTGATGAAATAAGCCACCATCATAGACCACGTGATAAATCATGGTCTGTCACAGAGAGGCAAGTGAAAGAGTCCAGCCTAATCTCAGACGGTCAACTGTGGTTTCCATTATCCAAATTTTTCGACAATCCAACAGGTAAGAAATGCATTTCATGAGGGCCACAATTGCAGTTGTAATGTACATATTTGTAGCTGCTGGTGGCCAGCAGTTATTGTGGTACAATGGTAAGAAGCATTTGTATATGCAAAAGACAGGACAAAGCTGCTGATTTAAGACATCTATAGTTTAGAAAATAGGATAATTGTAACACGCTTGAAGAACTATGTTTTGACAGAGATCTCAAATCCATAATTTTGTTATTTACACATGTCAGGAAACAGAACTACTTCTTTCTCCAATTTAACATTTATGAATTTCTGTAACTCAGACAAGCTTTCTGGGTAACACTTTACAATAACAGTACATGAATTATCATGTACTAATACCTGAATTAATAATTACTTGACTATGAACTAATGATGAGCTAACTTAACTACGACATGAGTCATATGAACTACTGCATGAATAACACTACCTTAATTACATGTTAGTTCCTGCATGTTAGTTAATGTAGTAATTAACACTTTGGGGTAAACTAAATCAAACACGCTCTAGAAGCAAGATATATGAAAATGGCACAATGTAAAATTGATGTTTGTGACAACTGCAGGTGGCAAATTTATAAACAGTGAACGACAGTGGATTTCTTGCAATATTTACGTTTAATCTAACTCGTCCAACACACAATGATGCATTCATAATTAAAAACAATTTCATCTCATTCTGTTTTGAGTGATTCCACTGCTGCCGTCCTACAATAACGTATTCATTAAGCAGGTGCAATTTTCCAAATTAAAATACTTTACATTGTAGCAAAGTGTCATTTCTTCAGTGTTGTCACATGAAAAGATATAATCAAATATTTACAAAAATGTGAGGGGTGTACTCACTGCTGTGAGATACTGTATATATATGTATATATAATAGGTATATGTTTTTATTTTTAACATATTACTTTTATCCAAAGTGAAGGGAACAAGTAATTTCATATAAAAATAATAATAATAGAAAATACACCAAACATTGTATCAGAATGATGGCTTGCAATCTCTCACGTCATGTTATATCTAATCATGTTCTCAGCAACCTTTCTTATTTCTTCAAATCGCATGAATAATTAACAGCGAGTGGGGCTTCATGATCAGATGAAAGAGGTATCAATGCCTTAATATGTGAAAATGACGTATTAAATGAATACCAATTTATACATAATAATGAAAAAAAATGGCTTGTTCTTTCTTGTTTTTAGTTTGTAAAACTAAAAAGAAAAGAAAAATGAAGCAGGCATGACATACGGACAACAAACGTTCTTTACCTTTCAAACTAACATGATTTTTTATATTATTACAGGTATAAATTCAGGTCAAAATGACCGTAAAGTTCATGGATAAGCACAATTTCTTAGGAAACAACAAGGTTAAATAAGCTACCAAATATATGTATGTACTTACCAGGATGTGCAAGGCTGCCAACAAAAAAATATATTATTTTCTTCCCCTTAAAGAACAAACAGACAAAAATATATCAATATCTATTTTACATCATTAAACTTCAAGCCATTTTCAAGCTAAACAGCACAAGGAATAAAGAAACTGATTTATGCTACTGATATTTCCATGTACTTATCTACCTAACAATAATATAACTGGGCAATTTACTGTACAGTGAAACTGGATAGGGATGTTGCCAATTACTGGTGGTGTTAACTTACTGTTTCAGTGGGAAAAGATACATGTAACATTATAAGTTTTAAAGATGAATAAACTAATAATTTAGTAGCATTTTTCTTTCATTACTCTGACCAACCTCCCTAACTCTCTCCCTCACAACCTCTCCATGGTACAGATCCTGGCTGTTATGTGAGCATTCTCTAATGCAATAATAAAATTAATTAAAACAGATTTAAACAACAACAAAACGAAACTAGATAATTTTTTTTTCAAATGTTATTTGTTAACTTTTCAACAACTTTATCTGAAATAGCTTTCAAATGGACAATGTAGTTTAACAATAAGAATTACAAAGGAGGAAAAATAATTACCATTATGCGTTTGTCTCTGCTTTCTTTTTATTGGCATGTAAAATACATTTGAAATATTGACTGTAAAGGCAGGGTCGATGGGTGCAGAGGTGGGTTCGTTACACAAAGAGTTGGGGTCACTGGGCGCAGAGGCAGAGTTGGTGAACGCAGAACCAGGGCTGGACACAGATGTGGGGTCCTTGGGCAGAGGCGGAGCTGCTGGACACAGTGGCATAACGCAAATCCGCGAATCACAAGTTGTAGGCCCCCCTAATGCCAGTCAGAACAATTTCCCCTCCACCCTCTGAGCATTTAATAATCACTCCTCTCCAGCTCCGCTCCTGGTTCCCCAATTCCCGCTCCACTCCTCAGTATTTCAGTATGTTTTTTTTAAAAGGAAACGTGCAAATCTTACCGTTTTCTTCAAGTTGTATCCTTCAAATACAGTTGTGTTTTTCATAATGTTGTTGAGATGCCTTCACACGACGACATCACCTCCGTGCAGCTGCGGTTGTACAGTAAGATATTATCATTGGTCCTTTTCAAACTGAAGAATGGACCTTTCGACCACCAAATCCAGCAGTGTCTGCCATAATATCGAAGTAAGTGCACATCACTGATAATTGTTCTCACTAAAAAATATTTTTCTCATAACATGAGATCTGCAGTTTAGTTTAAAGATTAATTATTGTGCACTCCTCGCTGTCATTAAAACATGTGATCAAGCGCATCCACTACAAATGTCTAAATTCATAATTTTGGTTTAACTTCTGCGTAATGACTTTGTCATTAAAGGGGTCATATGATGCGATTTAAAGTTTTCCTTTCTCTTTGGAGTGTTACAAGCTCTTGGTGCACAAAGAAGATCTGTAAAGTTGCAAAGACTAAAGTCTCAAATCCAAAGAGATATTCTTTATAAAAGTTAAGAGTCAGCCACACCTACCTAAAACGGCTCGTTCTAAAAACGCCTCATTTTAACACGCCCCCACATACCTACGTCACAATGTGGGAAGATTTGCATAAAGCCTCCCAAATGTTCACGCAAAGAAAGATGGCGTAACTTTTATTCTCACCGTAGTATTGTTGCCGCCACCATATCCTGAAGACGCTGTGTGCTTCGTTGTGAAAGCGAAACTACTTTGTTTGGTCTTCCAAAAGAGGACGATATCCACGGTTTAAATGAATGTTGCAATC